CCCCCAACTATATAGTGTGAGCAGTTGTGGAGGTGCTGATTGAATAGAACAAAATACAGCACCACAACACATGAAACAAAAGAAACAAAGCAAAAGTATACACAAGACCCCTACAGCACCAACAAAAGAAACCTACAGGGAAGAGAGAATTAGGAAAGAAAAAAAGAGAGCAAGAATGATAGAAAAAGGAAAAAAGAAAAAACATGTGAAGAAAACAAAACAAAAAAAATGAAGGGGAAGGGATATATAGATTCAGAACTGACATAAAGAAAATAATAATAGCCTTAACCAGTTTGGCTCAGTGGATAGAGCGTCAGCCTGCGGACTGAAAGGTCCCAGGTTCTATTCCAGTCAAGGGCATGTACCTTGGTTGCGGGCACATCACCAGCAGGAGGTGTGCAGGAGGCAGCTGATCGATGTTTCTCTCTCATCGATGTTTCTAACTCTCTATCCCTCTCCCTTCCTCTCTGTAAAAAATCAATAAAATTTATAAAAAAAAGAAAAAGAAAATAATAATAAAGAATTAGGGGAAGCCCAGCTGGCATGGCTCAGTGGTTGAGCCTTTACCTATGAACCAAGAGGTCATGGTTTGATTCCCAGTCAGGGCACATGCCTGGGTTGCAGGCTCGATTATTCCCTATTTGGGGGCATGCAGGAGCCAGCCAGTCAATGGTTCTCTCTCATTATTGATGTTTTTATCTCTCCCTCTCCCTTCCTTTTCTGAAATCAATAAAAATATTTTTTTAAATATATTTTATTGATTTTTTACAGAGAGGAAGGGAGAGGGAGAAAGAGTTAGAAACATCCATGAGAGAGAAACATTGATCAGCTGCCTCCTGCACACCCCCTACTGGGGATGTGCCCGCAACCAAGGTACATGCCCTTGACCGGAATCGAACCTGGGACTCTTCAGTCCACAGGCCGACGCTCTAGCCACTGAGCCAAACTGGTCAGGGTTAAAAATATTTTTTTAAAAAAATAATTAGGATAATAGGGAAAAGTAAACAGTTTAAAATAAAGGAGCTCAAAAAGAAAAGAAAAAAAATTAAAAAGTCAGATAGAGGGAAAGGAGATACAACCAAAAATAAGAAAAGGAAAAAATATGAGAAAGCAAGAGAAAAATAAAAATGAAAGAAAACAAAACTGATTAGTGAAAAAAAGAAAACGAAAATATTTGAGTAGGAAAGGGGAAGAGGAAATTTAGATATATGAAAGAAACAACAGAGACTCGAATAACAAATCAATATAGTAGATAAATAAAGAAGACACATTTAAAATGGGGGAAAAATAAATGAAAGAGAAAAAAGAAAAGACAAAACAAAAGTGTTGTGTAGCTGGCATGGCTCAGTGATTGAGCATTGACCTAGAAACCAGGAGGTCATGGTTCGATTCCTGATCAGGGCACATGCGCAGGCTGCGGGCTCGATCACCAGTGGGTCGTGCAGGAGGCAGCCAATCAATGATTCTCTCTAATCATTGATGTTTCTGTCTCACTCTCCCTATCCCTTCTTCTCCGAAGTCAATCCTCCTATCTAATAATAGACAAACATGGTAATTGACCATACCTTCGCTACCCCTCCCATTGGATAATCAGCAAGATAGGCAAATTAACCGCCAACAAAGATGGCGGTTAATTTGCATACGTAGGCGCGAAGCGGCAGAGTGAAGACTGAAGGCGGCTCCAGCTGGAGCAGCGAAGGCTGAAGGCAGCTCCAGCCGGAGCGAAGGCCTGGGTCCTGGGTGCCAGAGGAAAACCGGTGCCGGCAGCCAGGGGAAGGGAAGGCCTATTCCACGAATCTTTTCTCTAGTCTATAATAATAAAAGTGTAATATGCTAATTAGACCAGACAGCTGAATGACCTTTGGGACCTCCTTCCGGACGTAGCCACCAAGGCGGGGCCAAGGCAGAGATGGTTAGGGGCAAACAGGTAGTCAGGCAAGCAGTTAGGGGTGATCAGACAGCTAGGAAGAGTGGTTAGGTGTGATCGGGCATGCAGGTGAGCAGTTAGGGGCGATCAGGCAGGCAGGTGAGAGGTTAGAGGCGATCATGCAGGCAGGCAGGTGAGCGGTTGGAACCAGCTGTTCCAGATTGCGAGAGGGATGTCCAACTGCCGGTTTAGGCCCGATCCTGCAGGTATTCCTGCAGGATCCGGCCTAAACTGGCAGTCCAACATCCCCCAAGGTGTCCCGGATTGCGAGAGAGTGCAGGCCAGGTGAAGGACCCCACCCCCACCCCCGTTCACAAATTTTGTGCACCGGGCCTCTAGTAAAAATATATTTTAAAAAGGTATCTTTAGGGAGGCCATTTTTCATGAAATATTAATGTTTATTACATGTAACTTTATTATATTTAAAATTGTTTTTCTTGAAAGAAAATATATTCGTATGGCTATAAAAAATAAAAATGTATTAAAAAAAGAAAAAAAGAAGTGGTGAAGTGGCATTTGTTTCAGAGTTTAGTGTCCCATGGGAGCTCCCTTTAGATCCTATTCTTCTCTCTGCCAATTCTGGGCTTCCTGTGAGGTACTTAGGTGCTAACCACTGTCAGAAACTATCTTCCTTTGGCTTTCAGCAACCTGTTCGAAGCTCCAAGCGATTCACCGATCCAACATTTTGTGTGTGTCTGTACTGGCCTTGGCTGCATGCAGGAGGGGCCAATCTGCCCTTTAATGTAGGTTTGTTAGCAGCATGGGGCCCAGGGCTGGTTCCCCAGGCTCTACCTTTGCCTGCCTGTGCCTGCTAGCTAGCTGTCAATCTTAACCACTCAAAAGTCTGTTTCTAAAAGGGCTTTAATGTGGGGAAGGTGCTGTTTAGCTTTCTGGGAATGGCATGGGTGTGTTTCCCTGTCCCAGAGCTACTATTCCATGAGTGGCCGAAATTATTACACTGCCCTCAGCTAGACAGAGGTCCTTGTATGGAGACCAGTAAGTTTGGCTGGAAACCTGTATTTTTTATCAGCTCTCCTGTTCAGGGAAAGAGTACCACCTGTCTGGTTCCCAGGATAGTGGAGCAGAGGGCCCCTCCCCAATCCAGTCACTACCGCTCCTGAAACTGTTCAAATCCTTTGACTTGGCCTCTATTTTTGTTTCCTCTGAAAAGCTCAAAATGCAGGGTGTGGCATGCAGGGCTCATGAGGGTGGGACAGGCTGTATCACCTAGGGAGGGTTTTGTTTTTTTTTCTTGCCCTGTTGCTACTGGGAGTAGCTAGCTCCTCTCAGGAAAAATGGCTCTTGTTTTGGGGCCTACGACCAAATACTCCTGGGTGCTGCTTTTTCACATCTCTCCGCAATGCTTCCCACCCCAGCCTCTCCTTAGGCACCTCCTCCACATCTCCCTCCCTGCACCAAAGCCTTGGGTGAGTAGCTGTAAATGAAAACTCCTGTGCTCTGTGTTTTTTTTTTTAAAAAAACAACAACACAAAAACAGTAACAATGAAACTGCAGCTTTCTGTCCGACTTATTCCCATCTACCAGCTCCAGACTGCACCCTGGCCAGCAATCCTGCCACCTTTCATGGCTGGATGTTACATGGGCCACTGATCTCGACTCTAGTGCTCTGGGCTGTGGAGCTCAGCGTGGGTTTCAGGCTTATATCTTCTGAGGGAACAGAGATCTCTCCTCACTTGGCCTTCCACCCTGCTGCCATGCCGCTCCTGTAAGCTGGGTCAGCTCCTCTCAAGATCTCGCCCTTCCTACTCATCTCCAGGTGTTTTCTGTCCTTCTTTTATATGTCTCGAACTCAGCTGGATCTCAGTTGGTAATTCCAAGTGAATGTTCTCTAATTTAGTTGTGTTTCCAGTCTGGCCTTGTGACTGGGTACACTACAGATCTGCCTAGTCAGCCAACATTTTCTCCTCCAACCTTTGCCATTTTAATATGTGTGCACCCCTTTGGATTCATCTTGTGTTGAACTCTCTGCACTTCCTGGACTTGCATGTCTTCTTACTTTACCAGGTTAGGGAAGTTTTCAGTCATTATTTCTTCAAATGGGTTCTCAATCTCTTGTTCTCTCTTTTCTTCTCTGGGTATTCCTATAAAGCAAGTGTTGTCATGCTTCATATTGTCCCAGAGGTCCCTTAAACTATCCTCATTTTCTTAAATTCCTTTTTTTATCACTCTATTTTCTTTTTATTGGGTGCTTTCTGTTACCTAACCTTCCAAATCACTGACTCAATCTTCTGCTTCATCTAACCTACTGTTGATTCCTTGTAGTGTATTTTTTATTTCAGATACTGTATTCTTCATTTCTGACTCTTTTTTATGTCCTTTTTTATGTTTACTATCTCTCTTTTACATTTTTTATTGATTTCCAAAATAGCAAGGGAGTGGGGGAGAGAAGGAGAGAAAGGGAGAGAGAGAGAGATATCGATGAGGGAGAAACTGATTGGTTGCCTCCCTTACGCATCCTGACCTGGGGATGGAACCCACAACCCGGGTATGTGCCCTGACTGGGAATCAAACCTGTGACTATTTGGTGCACAGGATGGTGCTCCAACTAACTGAGCCACACTGGCCAGGGCACATTTCCATTTATTTAGCTTTATTGTAAGAATACAGTGTATAATACACATAGCATACATGTGTTAATTGACTGTCTAAGCCAGGGGTGGGCAAACTTTTTGACTCGAGGGCCACAATGGGTTCTTAAACTGGACCGGAGGGCCGGAACAAAAGCATGGATGGAGTGTTTGTGTGAACTAATATAAATTCAAAGTAAACATCATTACATAAAAGTGTACGGTCTTTTTTTTTTTTTAGTTTTATTCATTTCAAATGGGCCGGATCCGGCCCGCGGACCGTAGTTTGCCCACGGCTGGTCTAAGCTTTCAGTAACTTCTAGTCAGCAGTGGGCTATTAGTAGTTAAAGTTTTTGGGGTGTTAAAAGTTATATGTGATTTTCAGCTGTTCAGGGGTCGGTGCCTCTAACATACCTTCCCCTGCTTCATTGTTCAAAGGTCAACTGTACTTGAAAAACATGTTTGTAAAGTGGTTGTATTTGTGAAATGTCTTTATTTGCATTCCTGTTTTTATAGGATCCTTTGGTCATACTATTAAAAAATATAATTCCCTTGGTGATCTTGTTCAAGTCTTGGGTACCCCAGGCAAAAAAGGCACTGGTTTGAATCCCCTGCAGTTTGATAACCCTGCAGAATTATATGTAGAGGACACAGGAGATATTTACATTGTGGATGGAGATGGAGGATTGAATAACAGATTGATCAAGTTGTCCCAAGGTACATGGCTTAATTTTAATGGTATTATATAAGAACATTATTTAACAAGTTGGATTTAATTTGTTTAATACTTGATATAATGTTGTAACTATTGAATATGAATCTGTAAAGGGCTCAAATGTATTACCAGGAAAAAATCAGAACAGATGTGTGGGATGGCCAATAATGAATGATTCTGATAATAGATTTGCTTATTCTTCACCAAAAGCTAGATGTTTCCTTTGAAATGAACTGGAGGCAGTATGAGACCTTATAGTGGGCTGAAGAAATAAATGGTTATTCTATCCAGTTAAGGATTGAGAGTTCAGAAACCTGGCATTCCAGAGCTATCGTGCAACTTGATTGATCAGCAAGTGTTTTTGTGTGTATGTGTTTTTAATCCTCACCCGAGGATATTTTTTCATTGCTTTTAGATAGAGTGGAAGGGGTTGGGGGGGCGGGGGGGAGAGAGAGAGAGAGAGGAAGAAAGAAAGGAAGGAAGGAAGGAAGGAAGGAAGGAAGGAAGGAAGGAAGGAAGGAAGGAAGGAAGGAAGGAAGGAAGGAAGGAAAAAAAAAAACATCGATGTGAGACACATTGATTGGTTGCCTCCAACACGCACCCTTGCCAGGGCCGTGAATGAACCTGCCATTCAGGTATGTGCCTTTGACTGGGAATCCACCCACGACCCTTCAGTGAGGTAGCTGACACTCTAAACATCAAGCCACACTGGCCTAGGCAATCAGCAACTGTTTTATTGAATTCCCTGCTCTGTATCCTCAGTAGTATGTTAGGTGCAGGTTCATTAAAAAGGAAACAGTTAAATGTTACTGTGTGGTATTGATTGTTAATCATATTAATAAAATTATTAAAAAAAGATTAGGAGGAGAAATTATATTGACTAGAGAATTAGGATAAGAATTCAAGAAGGAAATAGTTCTTGCACTAAACTGGGTTCAATAGGAGGATAAGAGCGGGATAGGAGGACCATTCACAAGCCTTTATTACACAAAGTCTTCAGGTGATGATAGTAGATCTTTAGGAAAGGATCTTTAAGATGCATTTTATAAAGAGTTGAAAATAAGATTTTTGGATATCTTTGAGAGCTTATGTTGGGAAAATTTAACTAGGGCCAAAAAACACCAAAAAAAAGCAGCTGACATCCCAGCATTATAGCTAGAGTTCACTGAGGGAACTTACATAGGAGGCACATCCCAGGGAGGCAGCAAGAAGATATGCATATCCTTCAAGCTGCATGGTAGCTGCTAAAGAATCCTATCTAATAATAGACAAACATGGTAATTGACCGTACCTTTGCTACGCCTCCCATCGGCTAATCAGCGCGATATGCAAATTAACCGCCAACAAAGATGGCAGTTAATTTGCAGACGTAGGCTCCAAGCAGTGGAGCTAGGCCTCACAGCCCCGGGGCCGGCGGAGCAGCGAGGCCTCATGGCTCCGGGGCCGGCGGAGCAACGAGGCCTCACGGCTCCGGGGCCGGCGGAGCAACAAGGCCTGACGTTTCCGGGGCCGGCGGAGCAGCGAGGCCTCACGGCTCTGGGGCTGGCGGAGCAGCGAAGCCTCATGGCTCCAGGGCCGGCTCCGGCCAGAGCAAAGGCCTGGGCCCCGGATGCCGGAGGCAAACCGGTGCCAGCAGCGAGGGAAAAGGAAGGCCTATTGCACGAATCTCTTTGTGCAACAGGCCTCTAGTTATATAGAAAAGGCCAGAATGAATAGGGTTACCAAGAGGAAAAGGCCTTGCAAGCTTGCCATGGTCAGAGCAACCGCCTGTTCCAGGAACCAGCATGCCTTTGAGCATAGGAGAGGGGTAGATCAGACAGTCTCTGAGGGGATTTATGAGAAACAATCTGGGCCAGATCTAGCTCATGGTCTGGCAGTGGTCATGTCATGGAACAGTCTCCTCTAAGGATTTGAAGCCTTGATTTGCCTGTAAAGAGTCTTTGTGGCCCTGGCTGGGTAGCTCAGTTGGTTAAACTGTCAGCTCGATACCCCAAGGTTGAGGATTCGATCCCTGGCAGGGTACATATAAGAAGCAACCAATGAACACATAAATAAGTGGAACTACAAATGGATGTTTCTCTCCCCCTCTGTTCCTCTCTCTTTCTCCCATTCTCTGTCTCTCTAATTCAATAAATAAAATTTTAGAAGAAAAAGACCCATTGCTGTTTTTTAGTAGAAAAGTGATGCTATAGAAGCAAAGTTTTTATAAGATACAATACTATATCAGGATATATTTGTGGTAAGTTCTGTCATGTGGAAGCTATGTAGTTAATTTATCACCTAGTAACTGAATTTGGTTGGTGATAGTTGAAGGAAGGTGAGGTGGAGCTAAAGTAAGAATCTGAAAATGTCTATGAAAGAAAGAAACAAATTTCGGAGATGGATTGAATATGGGTGCATTAGCTTCTTGTGGGTGCTGCAATAAATCACTAAAATTGGATGGCTTAAACAGAAATTTATTTGCTCGTGGTTTGGGAATCCAGAGTTTGAAATCTTTAGGGCGGGTCATTCTCCCTTTAAAGGCACCAGAGGAGAATCCTTCCTTGCCTCTTCCAGCTTCTGGTGGTTCCAAACACTTTTTTGACTTGTGACAGCATCACTCAGTCTCTGCATCTGTCTTTACATGGCCTTCTTCACTGTGTGTGTCTGTATCTCAAGTCTCCCTCTCCTCTCATTGGATTTAAGATGCACCCTAAATCCCGGATCATCTTGTCTCAAAATTCCTAACTTAACTATTTCTGCCAAGACCCTGTTTCCAGTAAGGTCACATTCATAAGTACTGGAGGTTGGGACTTGATCATATCTTTTCAGGGGGCCACAGTGTAACAGACTACCGGGTAGTAAATGAGATAGACTATAGAAACATGTGAATATTTGAGCTCAGAAGAATGGTAAAACCAAAGAACAGTTGGCAAGCAGAACCAGTTTAAGGAAGAGGTTGACATGAACCCTAAATGTTTCTGAGTGATGAAAAATTCACATGTAGATAACCATTAAAGAAATAAATTAATTGCTTGAAACAGATTTTTTTTTTTGTAAAGCATAAGAATTAGGCAAATCCTACATAATTAAAGCATAATATGGAAATCAACTGGATGGCAGAACGACCGGTCGCTATGATACACACTGACCACCAGGGGGCAGATGCTCAATGCAGGAGCTGCCCCCTGGTAGTCAGTGTACTCCCACAGGGGGAGTGCGCTCAGCCACAAGCTGGGCTCACGGCTGGCGATGGCAGGAGCCTCTCCCACGTCTGCTGCCGCAGATGGTAAGGAGCGAGGAGTCCCGGACTGCGAGAGGGATGTCTGACTGCCAGCTTAGGCCCTATCAGCAGTCAGACATCCCCCGAGGGGTCCTGGACTGCGAGAGGGCACAGGCCAGGCTGAAGGACATCCCCCCCGCCCCCCAATGCACAAATCTTGTGCACAGGCCTCTAGTGGGTACATAAACAGAAAGGAAGGAATCTATACTAATAAAAGGGTAATATGCTAATTAGACCAGACAGCCTTCCGGACAAAGCCATGGCAGTGGGGGCAGAAGCGGTTAGGTGCGGTCAGGCTGGTAGGAGAGCAGTTAGGGGGGGACCAGGCCGGAAGGGGGGCAGTTAGGAGGCGAACAGGCTGGCAGGGGGGCATTTAGGGGGTGGCTAGGCCAGCAGGGGAGGGCAGTTAGGGGCAATGAAGCAGGCAGGCAGGCGAGTGGTTAGGAGCCAGCAGTCCCAGATTGCGAGAGGGCAGTCGGGACATCCCCCGAGGGGTCCTGGATTGGAGAGGGTCCAGGCCGGGCTGAGGGACACCCCCCTCCCGTGCACGAATTTCATGCACTGGGCCTCTAGTGGGGTTATAATTGAAAAGTTTGTCTGCATCCTATGACATAAAATATAACATGCAAATGCGTAAGATACTCTCTATGATATGTTGCCCTGACCATATATGTTTATCATTTATAGATTTCATGATGCTTTGGTTGCATGGAGAAAATGGGACAGGGCCTGCTAAGTTCAACATACCTCACAGTGTTACAGTTGATTCATCTGGCCGGGTAAAAATACAGTGTCATTGTATCTGGAACTGTGTGTCTGAGGGTGTTTGTGTGTGTCTAAGTGTACATATGGATCTTAATGCACCCGTTCATGTCTGGACATCTGGATATGCATGTATATTATGGATGTGGATATGGATGTATTTATCCTAGTATGTCTTGACAATACTTCTGAGACTGGGTATACCAAACATATTCTCTTATAAGTATTTGAGTCCTATAATGAAAGTAGTTTCCAAATATTTAGAAATGAGCAAAATAGATTTTCTATTAACTTAAAGGGTAAAAGGAACACATAATGTAACAGAATATAAGGAATGTTACCTGATTTAAAAAAAAAAAAAAAGTTGCTCTCCTACTAGGAAAACTACTATGAGTATTTAAATATATTTTTAATTCTAGAATTAAAGTTACTCCTAGAATGTATTGGTCAAAAGACAGATAGAAGAGGTTAATCTTGGAAGCTTGAAAAGAGAGCCATCTGGCCAAACTTTTATTTTATTTTTTCAAACTTTTATTTTTACTAGCTGTACTCTGTCTAGGGAACAGAGAGCTTTAACCAGCAAATTGTAATTTGTTTCCTTTTTTTCACCCCTAACAACTATCACGCTTTTGCTTTTGCACACCTTTAAACATGCATATTAATTCTTGGGGTTACCTTTCTATAACCAAACCCTAACCCAAAATGTTATCATTAGTTTCTTTTTCTGGTTTCCTGTAGTAGACGGTACTTCCCCATTATAGTAACTATAATAGAATGATTTAATTGTCTCCCCTAATAGAATGTAGGCTGTATGAGGGTACATATGAATTTCTTTTGTTTTATATCTTAGTGCCTAGTAGGTAGTAGTCATCTTATGCCTATTTCTTAAATGACTAAATGTCTTGGTGCACAATGGATGCATCAGACTATCTTTGCTTCATGCCATTAGAAATTTAATCCATTTCCACATTCTTTGCTCAGTAAGCAGCCTTCTGGATTATGATTTGGTTTCCTATTTAACAAAGTAAGAATGTTTTGATCATAAAAATTTTCAAGTATTTTCTATCATAGATAGGAAGATAATTGAACATGTGAACTTGGTATGTTATTTGGGAGCTAGAAAGTTGGAACTAACTTGTCCTCAAGGGATAAGAACAACATCAAATTTCTGAGCATGCAAGACAAAAGCCCAGGTAAATTCACCATAAGGAGAAATGTTTTTTTGAGAGGACTTGGAGAATGAAAGAGTTATTTCTGCATATTTGATCCCAATCCTAGGGACTAAACTGTATTTCCTCCTTGGTCATTAACCTAAGACTGTAATCCCCAAATCAGTTACCTTATTTAGGGATCAACAACCTTTCTCAAGTGATGCAATGATTCTTTGTTTCTGATTGGAAATTAATTCAGTGGCTACGAAAACTTAATACACATTGATAAAGATATAATCAGGGTTACCCTGAAAAAATAGTCCCTGAATCCACAAACCCTAGAAATCTGAAGATCCTGAAGTGGAGAGGTAGAGGTCAGTTGGGTTGGAGCACCCTTCCAGGCCATTCTTTATAGCTCTACAACCCTAGCCAAGTGTTATTAAAAATGGTTTCACTGTACATATGCCGTGGGTTGCATACATCATGTAGAATACTAGAATGTACCTTCTTGTTGTATAACAGAAGTTTCTTTAATAACATATTACAGTCTAAAATCTAAATTAAACCTATTGTTAGCCTACTTTCATTCTTTGTTTGTAATTAAAATCTCACAAGCTTCCTCTTTAAATGGTTCAGCATTTTGGACATAACTTGGTAAATAGCAGGTAAAGGTTTAATGATAGTGCAGTATGAATGAATACCTGGCTTTCCTGTAGGCTGAGCTCCCAAGGAGCAAAAATACTTTCCTTTCTTTGTTTTATTACCTGGCCCAGGAACCAACAAGTTGGCAGTACTCAGTGACAGTGAATATTAGAGTAATAAATGAATGCTGTTGCTTCAGTATCTTCAAATCATCTGCATTATATTGAAATACACTAGTTTTTTAGTTATTCAAATGTTTAGTATAGCAGACACAGCATTATAGGCTTTGGTTTAAGATAGATGGCCATAAGTGGTTCTCCCACTTATGTAAGATCACTTCATGATATTTAACCTTTCTGAACTTTAATTTCCTATCTGAAATGGGGTTTTTAACACATTGCATACCGCATAGAAGTCTCGATAAGACATACGCCAGGGACCGCACGTTTTTGGGCAAACTGCACGTTATTTAAATCATCATAATGCACTTTAGGTGTTGTTTTTCAATAATTATAACATTTTTATTTACAAAAACAATTAAACAATTGAAGTTCCTAGTACTTTTTTAACGTATGGTACTGCGTAAAACATTTTCCTCTATGAAGAGGGACCAAACAAAATTTATGTAAGTATCTAGATTCGCTCCTTTTTCCATGGGCGTGAAAAACGAGAACACTCGTGAGCGGTCCTTAACAGATGGCGCGCGAAACACGAGAAAACTCCTGAGCGGTACGAAATGTGTTAGTAACCTTATTTGGGGACCTCTAAGTACTGAATTAAATAATGTATGTGCAATTAATAAAAGTAAACATTCATTCTCTCCTCTCCCCTTTTATCTTTCTTTTCATTATGATATAGATCTTTTCCAGCAAAAATTTTCCTTTTTTTTGGTTTCTCAGGTATGGGTTGCTGACCGAGGAAATAAAAGAATTCAAGTATTTGATAAAGACACTGGAGTGTGGTTAGGGGCATGGAATAATTGTTTCACAGAAGAGGGACCTTCTTCAGTCAGGTAATTGTTCCCTTTTATTTGAAAATGCTTATTTTATTTGCTTTATGTTAGGTTCTCTGAAAAGCTAGCTGAAAGTTTAAAATATTTATTGTTAATTTTAAGCAGAGAAAAGGGGGGAGGGAAACCAGTATACAGAAAACATATAATCATATTTTAAATTCCAGGTAGTTATATTCCCAGTGCACTGTGTGACCCAAATATATGCTGGATCTCTTCTAGAGATTTTCCTTGAGATGCATTTGGTCAATTTTTAAACAGATTGAAAGTGAAAATGTTGATTCTGTAGCCTAACATAGATTCTTTATTTCATTTTGTGTAGAACTATGATAATGTTATTTTTTTAAATTAATTTAAGCTAATCTTTGGCTATGTCTACCTTCACAAACCTCTTCTTCCCACATTAATAGAATTAGGTCAATTTAAAATTCTCTTTTAAAGAACCCTTTAACACTCAATCTGGCCTTCTCTGTGAGTCCTTCTGATTCTTGTTTTCAGTGATTCTCCTGTGCCACTGGTCCCTGCTCTTAAACCCTTAATAAAATACACCCCTTTTCCTGATCACTCTGTATCCCTTGACCCTTCTTAAAGTTTTATCATGGCCTCTTTAATTACTTGTCATTCTGTTTTAGCTCTATTTGTTTCTTTGTTTATTCTCCCACTAGAATAAAAGTCAAGAGAGTAGAGATTTGGGTTTATTGCTCACAGCCATATTCTTGGCACCTAGAATACTGCAGGCACACTAGGAACTCAATAGTTATAAAATAAGTGAACAAATTAATCAATTTAGTAAGCAGTTTGTTATATATATTCATATGTGAAATATTGTGCTTTTTGCTCTTTTTGTTGTTGTTGTGTATATGTGTGTGTGTGTGTTACATTAAAAAAAATATTGGGAGCAAGTAAAAACTAATCCAGCATATTATGAATCTAGAAAATGTGCTACAAATAATTTATCAACCAGAGAGCTAATAAAATTATTTGGGGAAAATAAAAGCCTTCAGCAAGTAGGTACCTGCTGTTTAGCACTGGTGAGGATAAAAATGTTGAGAAAATAAACATTTATGATAATTTTACATTAATTTGTTTGTCAAATGTGTTCTCTTTAGATTTACTCCTGATGGGAAATATTTGATTGTAGCCCAGCTGAATCTTAGCAGGCTCTTATTTGTGGCAGCACCCCCAGTGGGAAGCATTGGCTACTGTTCTGTGATAAGCTCAATCCAACTAGCAGATCAAGTTTTACCTCATCTCTTAGACGTCAGTGGAAAGACTGGAGCAATATATGTAGCAGAAATTGGAGCAAAACAAGTACAAAAATATGTCCCTTTGAAAAGCTAATTTCCTATAATTCCATTTATTATGTATCTCTCCCTGGAGATCTTGCAAGTGAAAGTTCAGATTCTCAAATTCACTGTTAAGTAATGTTCAAGCGCAATAATTCATGTTTTTATTTTTACCCGATCTAGTATCACAAAATTTGTTTTTATAAAGTCATTAAGAATTTTATGTTGTGTCAACCATTCTTGTAACTTGAGAAACAAATGTAACTCTAAAAAACATGGGGTCAAAAGAGGGACTAAGGTGGAAACATAGTTATTTGTCCTGATAAACTATCCTTGGGAGATGGGGGAGAAACAAAAATAAAAAATGGGTCTTTCGGATAATTTATTGAATTTTACGTGAAGACTACAAAACTCCAGTTAGTTCACATTATATAAAATGAACTGCTTAAAAGATCAAGTGAAAGTGCTGTGGTCGGATCCAGGCTCGTTGTCTTGCAGAATCAAAGAATGAGTTCGCGGACAAAGAAGGTAAGTGGAAGCAGTTTATTGAGAGATAGACTCCCTATAGCAGGGAGTGGCCCCAAGTGGGTTGTCGCTGAAGTTCCTTTGTTTAAGGGCAGATGTATGTCTTCTTGGCTCTTTTTTCTTTTTTTTCTTTATTAAGGTATTACATATGTGTCCTTATCCCTCCATTGCCCTCCCCCCACACCCCACTTATGCCCTCACCACCCTGGTGTCTGTGTCCATTGGTTAGGCTTATATGCATGCATACAAGTCCTTTGGTTGATCTCTTCCCCTACCCCCACCCGCCCCTACCTTCCCTCTGAGGTTTGATGGTCTGATCGATGCTTCTCTGTCTCTGGATCTGTTTTTATTCATCAGTTTATGATGTTCATTATATTCCACAAATGAGTGAGATCATATGATATTTATCTTTCTCTGATTGGCTGATTTCACTTAGCATAATGCTCTCCAGTTCCATCTATGCTATTGCAAATGGTAAGAATTCCTTCTTTTTTACTGCAGCGTTGTATTCCATTGTGTAGATCAGTGACGGCGAAGCTTTTGAGCTCGGCGTATCAAAATTTTGAAAAACCCTAACTTAACTCTGGTGCCGTGTCACATATAGAAATATTCATAATTTTTTTTGATATTTGCAACCATAGTAAAAAAATGATTTATATTTTTGATAATTATTTTATATATTTAAATGCCATTTAACAAAGAAAAATCAACCAAAAAATATGTATAAAATGAACAAAAACAAAAACAATGTACATTTAGGAAAAAATAATAAAAACAATGATAATCAAATGGTACGAAAACTAGAAATTAGTGATTTTTTTGGTGCTGAAGTTTGTCTGCTAATTCTTCGATTGCAGGTTCATACTTGGTGCACTTCAAGGCCAAGCAAGCGCCACTAACTTCATCTGTTAGCCAGTTTCTTTTGTTCATTTTAATAGTATTTAATGCTGAGAACAAAGTCTCACAAAAATATGTTGATGAAAAATTGTTAGATTTTTTATGTCGCTAAAAGTGTCAGGTACTCTGTTCCAAGCACTCAAAATTTCTTGTTTGTAGTTGCACTCTTCTTCATTATTCAAACAATTTCGTTCCAGATTTTCAAGTTTCGACCTTAAGTCGACAAACACATGAGTCCAAATGCTACCTTGAAAATCTGCAAGTTCCATCTCTAAATTGTCAATTTGCATCCATTGGAAATCCTTTAATTCCAAAGTACTGTAAACAACTACATCCGGATACTTAATTATTTTAATGGTCTGTTCTAGGCTTCTAAATTGGTCAAATCTTTCGCTGAACTGTTCAAATAACGAGTTTACTATATTCTGGTACATAAGTATGGACTCCATTACACTCGTTGTAGTGGCCTTCTCGAAATACTTTTTTATCCGAGGAAAATACTTATAAGTTTTAGTTTCAATATCTCGCTTGAAAATTTTAAGTTTACTTTCAAAAGATTTGATGTATCCAAACATAACGTCAGTACTTTTGCCAAAACCTTTTAAGTTCAGTTCATTCATATGAACAGAGAGATCTGTAAAAAACATCAAATTGCTGACCCACTTATGATCATTGATCTGAGGAAAGTTTGCCAGATCCTTATTCTCAATAAATACCGTAATTTCTTCAAAGCACTCCACAAATCGCTCAAGTACTTTACCTCGACTCAGCCATCTCACATTATTGAACATCAGTAGTCCACTATAGGTTGAATCAACTTCCTGTAAAAGTGCAGAAAATTCTCGCTTGTGAAGGGGTCAAGAAGCTATAAAATTCACAATTTTTGTTACAACTGACATTAAATCATTCAATTCTGAGAATCCCAATTTGGCACACAACACCTCCTGATGGATAATGCAATGAAAAGGTACAAGTGGATGTCTGATAGCTTCCATAAGCAATTTCAGGAATCCCACATTTTTTCCCACCATATTTGGTGCCCCATCTGTCGTGACTGACACAATTTTAGAGATATCAGTGTTTAGGTCACTGAATGTTTTTATAACAACCTTACATATTTCGTTTCCTGATGTACTTATTGGCACTGATTCTAACTTTATCAACTCTTCTCTCATTGTGAGACCATCAGAATATCTAGCAATAATGGCCAACCGAGCATTTGATGTGACATCAGTAGTTTCATCAAGAGAAATCGAAAAATATTTACAACTATTTAAGTCTTTTTTTAATTGATGTTGTACGTCTTTGTTAAGATCTATTATTCTGTCTTTGATAGTATTTCTACTGAGTGGTAACTCAGAAATTCTTTTAATAATATCATCTTTATTTTTCATATCGTGAAATAGAGCTGGTGCACATCTTAGAAATGTTTTCTTAATAAATTCTCTGTCACTGAGGGCTTTTCCATGCCGAGCTATGGAGTGAGCAATACAGTAACTTGCTGATGTTAAATTTGTAGAGCATCTTACAAATTTAATGATGGAATTTGATTGAATTTTATAGAGGTGTAGCTGCCTAGAAATGTATTCCTTCCTTTCATCGATACTCTTTTTCGAGAGCTGACAATGATTAGTTTCAGAATGTCTCTTTATATTCCACGTTCTGCTTACTACTGTTTCATTACACAGTATGCACAATGATCTGTTGTTTCTGTCGACAATCCCGTACATCTCGGTCCATATGTCTTGAAAGGGTCGGCGGCTACTGCTGCTTCCACTTCCTTTATCATTCAATCTTGCTTTTTTATTTTTTTGATTCTCCATCACAAGGCTGCAAAAATAAATAAATATAAATCATGGCGTTTTTTATAAAAGGTTGATAGGTTTCTTACCTATTAACTTTTTGCAGTGTTGTTGCACTGACTCCTGGTGCAAAACAATTCAAAGATAGTATGTATAACCAACAAATATATGGTGCTGTAATCAATTATCCGACACGCAGAATGTCTCGTCGAGTACTGTTGCACTGTATATCTTTTTTTCTAACCCTCCCACTCCTGTCTCCTAACAAACATGGCGATCAAGTGCATCCATTTGCCGAATGCACCCGAACGCACAGGAAGCTTACCCGAGGCACGTGTTGACAATAATGAGGCCGTTTCCAGAATTGGGCATTCTGTCACTCGAGTAAAAATAAAATGTCATGAGTAAAGATTAATCTCTTTATAGTGCAATTCTTAACCTTTTTATATTAATGTCAATATTGGAACAATGTATCTTGGATGTTTTCACTATGTATCTTTGCTACACAACACTGATGTACATGTTTACATCTGGTTTTAGAATTGCATTATTGATCATGAGTAACGTGAGTAATAATATTACTCGAGTGATGCCCAACTCTGGCCGTTGCGAGAGACAAATATTTGAATTATGCAATTTTTTGTCTCTGTCGATACGTCTCACCCAAAATGAGTTCGCGTGTCACCTCTGACACACATGTCATAGGTTCGCCATCACTGGTGTAGATGTACCACAGTTTTTTAATCCATTCATCTGCTGATGGGTATTTAGGCTGTTTGCAAATCTTAGCTGTGGTAAATTGTGCTGCTATGAACATAGGGGTCCATATATCCTTTCTGATTGCTAGTTTCTTGGGATATATTCCTAGAAGTGGGATCACTGGGTCAAATGGGAATTCCATTTTTAGTTTTTTGATGAAACTCCATACTGCTCTCCACAGTGGCTGCACCAGTCTGCAATTCCCACCAGGAGTGCACAAAGATTCCTTTTTCTTGTGAATCTTCGCCAGCACTTGTCATTTGTTGATTTATTGATGATAGCCATTCTGACAGGTATGAAATGGTACCGCATTGTGTTTTGATTTGCATCTCTCTGATGATCAGTGACGTTGAGCATTTTTTCATATCTCTCGTGGCCATCTGTATAGCCACTTTGGAGAGGGGTCTATTTAAGGCTGTTGCCCATTTTTTGATTGGATTGTTTATCTTCCTTTTGTTAAGTTGTATGAGTTCCCTGTAAATGTTGGAGATTAAACCTTTATCAGAGATAATATTGGCAAATATGTGCTCTCATGCAGTGGGCTTTCTTGTTGTTTTGTTGATGGTTTCTTTTGCTGTACAGAAGCTTTTTATTTTGTTGTAGTCCCATTTGTTTATTTTTTCTTTAGTTTCCATTGCCCTAGGAGCTGTATCAGTGAAGATATTGCTTCAGCACTAGTCCAAGATTTTGCTGCCTATGGATTGCTCTAATATTTTTATGGTTTCACATCTTATGTTTAAGTCCTTATCCATTTTGAGTTTATTTTTGTGTATGGTGTAAGTTGGTGGTCTAGTTTCATGTTTTCTGCACGTATCTGTCCAATTTTCCCAACACCATTTATTGAAGAGATTGTCTTAACTCCATTGTACTTGAATCTTTGTCAAATATTAATTGAACATAGTGGTTTTGGGTCGATTTCTGGATTCTCTGTTCTATTCCATTGGTCTATATGTCTGTTCTTGTGCCAGTACCAGGCAGTTTTGAGAACAGTGGCTTTGTAATACAGCTTGATATTTGGTATTAAGATCCCTCCTACTTTGTTCTTCTTTCTCAGGATTGCTGCAGCTATTCAGAGTCTTTTTTTATTCCAGATGAATTTTTGGAGAGTTCGTTCTAGGTCTGTGAAATATGCCTTTGGGATTTTAATGGGGATTACCTTGAATCTATAGATTGCTTTGGGTAGTATGGACATTTTGATGATGTTGATTCTACCAATCCATGAACATGGTATGTTTTTCTATCTGTTTATGTCTTCCTCTATCTCTTTTTTCAGTTTCCTGTAGTTTTCCGAGTACGGGTATTTTACCTCCTTAAGTTTATTCTTAGGTATCTTAATTCTTTTGGTGCAATGGTAAATGGGATTGTTTTTTTAATCTCTCTTTCTGTAAGTTCACTATT